GAGGAAGACTTTTGTTCTAAATTGTAAATTTTAGAATTGTTGTTTCAGGGCTGAGTCATCTAGTGTGGAGTTCAGCTGGAACCCTCATTTTGGAAGCTGGTGGACAGAGTATTCAGTTGGAGACTTCTTGACCCACCAACAAGAGGAAAAGGATGGACTTTGGGGGTGGCAAGCTGTGAAGGAGGGAGAAGTTAATGGTTTGGACTATAAAAGATCCCTGTTCTGTTGTGTTACCAAGTTCTGTGTTTTTGCTACATGATGTTAATTGAAAAGTTTTTTTTTTAAAAAAATTGTGTTATTCTCTCTGAATGACTGCAAGATTCATTCCAAGTTCTGCCCCACAGAACCCACAAGATGAGGTTACACGAGCAGTGTCAAATATTCTGGAGATACAACGTGGGCAACTCATCCAGATGGAAAAGATTTCATTTGCCTATTGGTCTCTCTTAGGTCTAATCTGCAATGCTGAAAGCTCCAATGGAGTGCTCGGGTCCAACTGGGAAAGAATCAGCCGGATATTTAACCCAACAGGCCAGAATGATATCATATAGGTTTTTGGCCTGCAAAAGCTTTTTGCACAAGGTTAGCACAGGACTAGGGTTGCTAGATTGCCTCTGGCCACCGGTGGGGGGGGGGGGTTGCCAGATCCAAGTTGGGAAACTCCTGGAGATGTGGGGATGGAGCCTGGGGAGGACAGGGGACCTCAGAGGGAGACAATGCCAGAGAGTCCTCCCTCCAATGCATCCCTTTTCTCCAGGGGAAATTATCTCCGCAGTCTGGAGATGAGCTGTAATTCCTGGGGATTCCCATGTCCCAGCTGGAGGCCGGAATCCCTACACAGGGCTCTTGGTGGTTTTCACACAAAAGGGAGAAAGAATATCCGGATGAAGGATCTGAAGTCGGGTTTCCAGCTCCTGGTTGGGAAAAGCCTGGATATTTGAGTTTGGAACCCGGGGAGGGACCTCAGCACGGTATAATGTGTCATCTACCCTCCAGAGCAGCCATTTCCTCCAAGGGAACTGACCTCTGTTGTCTGGAGGTCAGCTGTAATTCTGGGAGGTCTCCAGGTCCCACCTAGAGGTTGGCAACCTTAACCTGGGGCCACTTGGGATTCCTCCAGGATCAGATGGCATCTTCCGGGTGGTGGGCCCAGTCGTGGCTCTTCCGTGTCTGTCTGTGGCCTTTAGGGTCTCCAACCCCCAGGTGGAGGCTGGAGAGCCCTCAGAATGACAACCGATCTCCAGGAGAAAATGGCTGCTTTGGAGGGTTGACTCTATGGAATCGTATCCCCCCTCGGCTCCCTCCCCTCCCCAAACTCCGCCCTCTAGGCTCCACCCCAAAATTTCCGGTAACTTCCAAAGCCAAAGCTTCTGAAGGCCAGCAACGTGCTTGATTTTTCTGGACAATTACAACACTCCTATTGGAAGAGGCATGGAGGTGTCCTTCCAAATGGAAACACTACACTGGTTGTCAAACAGGGACTGGGAGCTGAGACCTTGAGCATTTGACTTTGGAACTTGGCCATGGTTGGCAGATTTGGAGGACCAAACGGAATCCTATGTTAGCATATTTGATCACATGACTCCTGCTAAGAGAGCCAGTTTGGTGTAGTGGTTAAGTGTGCAGACTCTAATCTGGGAGAACCGGGTTTGATTCCCCACTCCTCCACTTGCACCTGCTGATGTGACCTTGGGTCAGTCACAAGCTCTGGCACAGCTGTCCTTGAAAAAGAGCAGTTTGTGTCAGAGTTCTCTCAGCCCCACCCACCCCACAGGGTGTCTGTTGTGGGGAGGGGAAGGGAAAGGAGTTTGTAAGCCGCTCTGAGACTCCAAGTGAAGGGTGGGGTATAAATCCAATCTCTTCTTCTTCTAAGTTGTCGGCATGGTTCACAGACAGCCACAAACTGAAGGATAAACATTCCAAAGCTGGTTGCAAAGTGTCTTCCTTTAAACCAAACTGCTAATCTCAACCACTTCCTTCCTTCCTTCCTTCCTTCCTTCCTTCCTTCCTTCCTTCCTTCCTTCCTTCCTTCCTTCCTTCCTTCCTTCCTATTTATAGCCCGCCCTTCCCAGAAGTGGGCTCAGGGCGGGTAAGAACCTCATTTATACAAAAAAATTGTTAATAAAAGAACATTAACATTTAAAACATCTTCATAAATATTAAAATGGTGGTCACAGCTAACAACAACAACAACAAAATTCCCTGGTTGTGGGAGGTTCCTGGCCACAGCCAGTAGTTGTTAACAGAGTGACAACCACCTCAGGGAGGCCATAGATGCACGTCCGCTCCCTCAGCCAAAGGCCTCGCGGAAGAGCTCTGTCTTTCAGGCCCTGTGGAAGTAAATCCCCCAGGGCCCTGATCTCAATAGGGAGCATGTTCCACCAGGCAGGGGCCAGGGCGCAAAAAGCCCTGGCCCCGGTCGAGGCAAAATGGACATATTTATTTATTTATTTATTTATTTATTTATTCGATTTATCTACTGGCCTTCCTACCGACGGGCTCAGGAAGCTTTCTTGATAGGTGATCTCCTGATACAGTGAGATGCAGGGAAGCCAGGATTGGCCCTTTGCTTTGAGAAAGAAGCGTTTTGCGGGGAGAAGCGAGTGAGGTCCAGGAGGCATACTGGTGGCTACCAGGGTGAACACAGGCACCTCTTTGGATATCACTGCTCTACAGGGTGTCCTTGATCGGCTGCCACCCTCCAGATGGTGGCTGGAGATCTCTCACTGTTACAACTGATCTCCAGGTGATCGGTTCCGCCTGGGGAAAATGGCTGCTTTGGTCGGTGGACTCTATTACAGTATACCCTTTTGAAGTCCCTCCAAACCCCACTCGTCTCAGGCTCCACCCCCCCCCAAAAAAAAGTCTCTAGGTATTTCCCAACCTGGAACTGGCAACTTGAGTCCCTAAATACCAAGCCTTGCCTGTTTTTTTCTGAGTGGCAGAGCAGAAAACTCCATATCCTTCCCGTGACAAAAGAGTCAAGTGACCCCACTCATCTTCTCCTCTGCTCAGAAATGAAAGGAACGATGGCGCTCACAGCCTCTGGATCTCACAGTCAATATTTCGGCACTGCCTTTTAAAGGTCACAGTTCCCAGTTCCTCTCTCTCCCTCTTTCTCTCCCTCTCCCTCTCTCCGTATATAAACTTGGCTTGCTGAGCTAGTATGTTAACCATTCTAAAAACCGTACCACAAAACTCTCCTCGGAGAGACAGGTGGCATCGCCCGTCTCCTTCGTGTCAGCCCACATGATGCAACGCGGGCTACAATTACATTCTGTTGGCAGCTACCAGGCCTCCTGATGGAGAAATTGCTGTTAACGAGCCACTCTATAGTTTCTTAATAACTTGCCAATACGCGCTTTGCTGTATTAACCTCCGTGACCTTCATTTCCATCTGAAACACGCTGCACCGTTTCGCAAATTTTTTTTACTGTAAACATAATTATACGAGTCGGATGGTCCCAAAAGCCATTTCTCTGTGTGGGAGCTGAATTCGGGCTGTTCTCCAATTCCACCAGGCCCTTCACGGCACCGTCAATGACACTCAAAAACGCAATGCGAGGAGAGCGGCGCGTTATAATGGCGCTAAAGAGAGCGACACGGACCCCGAATCCGGTGGCTGCGGTCAAAGATATTCCCGTTCTATGGGGATGACTAACATCATCTGACTGGCAACTGGCAGACTTGTGCTGGCGCTGACACGTGCCAACACACTTTTCAGGAAGGATGACTTTATGCCAAAGGCTCAGGAATTGCTCACATGCTTTCCCAGCCATGAATGTTAACACCTAGGTGATCACCCGTATCATAAATCCAGGCTCAGAAGAGCTACCCTGTACTGAAAGTGCCACACTGAGAGCCTGCGAGATAATGGGAAGGCTTTACGGAGGGATAATTGGCTCATAGATCTCGAGAGAGAAACTCTTTTGAAGCCCGTGTACACAGAGACCCAGTTACACTTGTTTACTTACTATGCTACCTCACATGTCCACTACATCTGTCTGAATGTTGTACCAATGTGGGTAGGGACAACTGGAGGGAAAGAAGTATGCAATGATCCCTTCCACACGGTTACGTTGTTCCTGCACATGCATTCATGACAAACTCATGGAACGGCACCACCAAGGCTAAGTTGCTCCCGTGTGACTGAGTGAAGGTAGAAAGCTAAAAACCATCTATGTGAGAACTTCAGATCTGACCATGTCTTATACCGAGACAGAGCACTGGTGTGTCAAGGTCACGATTGTCTGTTCTGACTAGCAATGGGTCTCTCGGCTGGAGAACTTTCACATTCTTTTAATGGAAGTTGCCACAAGATAATGACTCAGCCCTACCCCACCTTCCTGAGTAGATATAAATTTCCTGCCTACCATTTTTTTCTTCTCACCTTGACACGGAGAGTACTCCATCTTTCTGTGTTATACCTCTGAGGATGCCAGTCACAGCTACTGGCAAAATGTCACATCCCACAATGCCAAGACCACGGCCATGCAACCCGGAAAATTTACAACAGCTAATGAACTCCGGCCATGAAAACCTTCAACAACATATTGCTGTGGATTATTCATTTATTTTAGGATATTTATACGCCACCTCTCCAGAGACTTGCTGGAGATGGCTCACCCGTAAGATCATAAAACAAAGCCACTGAAACACAACCACTAAAAGCAAAGCCATACAAACCCAACCGGTAAAGAACAGGATGACAATATTAAAACAAGCTAGTTCATAACAACAGCATAAAATACACGCACCGAACAACCCAAAAATGATACAGAAAATGACCGTCAAACCAGAAGCAGACCATAAAGGGATAGCTTCACCCTGGCACCTAAAAGAAAGGTAGGATCCAGGTGACCTTCACAGGGGGAAGGGATTCCAAACATGAGCCTCTCCCCAGAAGGTCCTCCATTCAACTCCCCAGATCTCCATCAACTAACTAGAGAGGAGGTGAAAGAAAGACAACAATGGTTTTTCAAAGACCCCGAAGTACTCACCACCAGGTTCCCGATCACCATGACCAGCAAGAAGACCAGGAAGCACAGGGGTTGCTGAGCTACTTTCATGCAGTCCCACATGGTCTCGATCCATTCCCCGCACAGAATGCGGAAGATGATGAGGAAGGAATGGAAGAAGTCGTTCATGTGCCAGCGGGGCATCTTTTCCGTGGTGCTGATTTTGTGGCGGTTCAAAAAATACAGATCTCCAAAGAGCTGCATCCCCACCACGGCAAAGATGAAGACGATGATGGCCAAGACGAGCGTGAGGTTCCCCAGAGCGCCGACGGAGTTGCCAATGATTTTAATGAGGGTGTTTAACGTTGGCCAGGACTTGGCCAGCTTGAAGACTCTCAGCTGTGGGGGAAGAAAAACACGTCATGAACAAACTGAGAGCCTGAAACGATTCTGCCACCAGACAAGGAGAAAGACCAACAGGATACATTTTTTAAAAAAATACTATGCAACCACAAGGAGATTTCTGCACACGTTTATCATGCCTCTGTTAGCTCAGGCTATTGCGGTGCTGGGACATGGTACCAAGGCACGTGCAAGCTTGGTGGGTGGAAAGTGTCATCAAGTCACATCTGACCTATGGTGACCCTGAAGGGTTGCCAAGGCAAGAAATGAACAGAGAACATAAGAACATAAGACCCCTGCTGGATCAGACCAATAGCCCATCTAGTGGCCAACCCATTCAGCTGGAGGGCCAACAAGAGTTTCATGGAGTGCCCACGAGTTCTTGTATTCTCACAAGACAAGAACTCATGGGCACTCCAAGAAACTGCTGAGCGGTCGGGTTAGAACGGATAAAAGGAAGTACTTCTTCACCCAAAGAGTGATCAACACATGGAATTCACTGCCACAGGAAGTGGTGGCGGCTACAAGCATGGACGGCTTCAAAAGGGAATTAGATAAGCATATGGAGCAGAGGTCCATCAGTGGATATTAGCCACAGGGTATAGATAGGGGCTCTGGGGCAAGTGATGCTCTGTCTTCTTGGTGCTTGGGGGGGGGGATCAACAGTGGGAGGGCTTCTAATGTCCTGGCCCCACTGGTGGACCTCCTGATGGCACCTGGTACTTCTGGCCACTGTGTGACACAAAGTGTTGGACTGAATGGGCCTTTGGCCTGATCCAACATTGGCATCTCTTATGTTCTTATGTTCTTATGTGAGAGGGCATAGAGGCTGAGGCCTTCCCAGTGTTTCCTCCTGGCACTGCGATTCAGAGGCTGAGTGCCTCTGGATGTGGAGGTTGCCCGCAGTCACCATGGCTAGTAACCATTGATAGGCTTATCCTTCATGAATCTATTTAATCCTGTTTTAAAGCTGTCTATGCCTGTGGCCACCACTACATCCTCTAGCAGAGAATTCCACATTTTAAACACTTGCAGGGTAAAGAAGTATTTCCTTTTCTCCATCCTCAATATATACTGCCCTCGATGGACGCCCCTGAGTTCTGGTATTTTGGGAAAGGGAGAAAAAGTTCTTTGTCAACTCTCTCCACCTCATCGGTAATTCTGTAAATCTCTATCATGTCCCTCCCCTCCCCTTAGTCGTCTCTTTTCTAAACTGAAAAGTTCTGGACTCTTCAGCCTTTCCTCGTAGGGAAGGTGCTCCGACCTCCTAATCATCTTAGGTCCCGGTCACACGTGCTGGAAAACACGGAGGGGGGGAGCGAGCCTATTTGCACTGCAGTAATTTGACCCTCCACTGCGTGATCAGATGCAGCGGCGGGTCTTGGTTGCCCTCCTCTGTACTTTTTCCAGCTCCGCAATGTTTTGTTTTTTTTTGAGATACAGTGCCCAGAAATGTACACAGCATTACAAATAAGGCCACACCATAGAACTATACAGGGGTATTATAGTATTGGCTGTTTGCCATTGCCTGCCTCTATGTAGCAAACCCTGGACTTCCTTGGTGGTTTCTGGAATAACCAGGGCTATTTTTGGGCAGGAACGCATAGGAACGAAGTTCCGGCTGGCTCCTGAGTTGGCCACGCCCAGCAGGAACTCATTAGCATAATAGGCCACACCCAACAGCAGAAACTCATTCGGATTGGCTACATTAGGGGTGTGTGGCCTAACATGCAAAGGAGTCCCTGCTACAAAAAAAGCCCTGGGTTTTGACAACAAACAAGGTAAACAGAATAAGAAGGGAAAGGTGGGTGTGGCTGGATGACCACACTTCTGGTAACATGGGGGTGTGGCCTAATGTGCTAATGAGCGGTGCTGTCAGGGTGTGGCCTAATATGCTAATGAGTTTTGCTGTTGGGTGTGGCCTATTATGCTAATGAGTTCCTGCTGGGCTTTTTCTACAAAAAGAGCCCTGGAATAATCCATTAAACTAGCATTCGCCTTGCCGAACATTCGCTTTGCCTGGGATCCTATCTTGTGAGCAGAATGGTGCTTGCGGAAGCAAACACTCCTGCGTCCTCCCTGCTGCCGCAACCAGTAGTGCCCTCTTGGAATCGTGCCTCTAGGAACTGATGGTTGCCCAGGCAGATTCTGGGAAGACGAAACTGGTGAAAATTGGAATTAGTGGGAAGAGGAAATTGGCCCCTCCCTGCTGGCGGAAGTGCCTTCCACCAGTGGAAAACACGGGTAGGATCGAAGCCACTGTTTCGGCGCCCTTTCGTCCCATGCCTGCCACTTCTCCTTCTTGGCAACCTTTTTCTTTTTCTCAGAATCTATTGTGCCCGCACTGCTATTCCATTCAATTGGCTGTGATGACTCATGTGATTTTGTTTCTAAGCTTTGATGATGTCACCATGTCCCAGGCAACGCTACCGGGACGAAAATCATACGGGTTGCCTTCCGATTAAACAATAGCGTTGGAAAAGAGGAATCGATGAAGGTGAGCAGGGGAAGAACCAGTGCATCTACCAATATGGCAGTCCTCGTTTTACTGAATGTTGGAGTAGGACTGAGGAGACCCAGGGTTGAATCTCCACCCTGCCATGGGAACTTGCTGGGTGACCTTGGGCCAGTGACATTCTCAGCCTAACCTACCTCACAGGGTTGTTGTGAGGGTAAAATGGATGAAAGGATGAGGATGTAAGTGGCTTTGCGTCCCCATTGGGGAGAAAAGTGGGGTAGAAATGAAGTAAACCAAGAAAGAAAGAACATATCCCTTTGTTTGCAGCTGAGCAAACCTCTTCCCTGCTTTTATGGCTTGCTGATGATGATCTTTTTATTGGCTTTTTTGGCTATTTTATGTTGTGGAGGCTGATACTTTTATTTATTTTTATGATTTATGGGAGGGGCTGTGGCTCAGTGGCAGAGCATCTGCTTGGCATGTAGAAGGTTCCAGGTTCAATCCCCGACATCTCCGGTTAAAAGATCTGGCAGTAGGTGATGTGAAAGAAAGAAACCTTGGAGAGCTGCTGCCAATCTGTGTAGACAATATGCTGACTTTGATGGACCGAGGGTCTGATTCACTATAAGTCAGTTTCACGAGTTCATGATATTTACTGTGTTTTAGTATGTCTTAATTGCTCTTGTTTTAATCCACCCCGTGGGCATAGGAAGCTGCTTTACATGGACCATTGACCTGATCTGCCCATTCTCGTAGAGTTAACTCTCCTTTGGGGGGGCTATCGAGTCATGTCTGGCTTACGGAGACCCCACTGGGTTTTCAGGAGCCAGTTTGGTGTAGTGGTTAAGTGCGCGGACTCTAATCTGGGAGAACCGGGTTTGATTCCCCACTCCTCCACTTGCAGCTGCTGGATGACCTTGGGAAAGCCGTAGTTCTGATAAGAGCTGTTCTTGAAAAAGAGCAGTTTCTGTCAAGAGCTCTCTCAGCCCCACCTACCTCCCAGGGTGTCTGTTGTGGGGAGGGGAAGGGAAAGGAGTTTGTAAGCTGCTCTCAGACTCGAAGTGAAGGGTGGGGTATAAATCCAATCTTCTCCTCCTCTTCCTCTTCTTCTCCTCCTCCTCCTCCTCCTCCTCTATATTGGCAAGCCGCTCTGAGACACCTTTGGGTAGTGAAGGGCGGGGGGTATAAATCCAATCTCTTATCTTCTTCTAGATGGACCTCTGCTCTGATCCAGAAGGCCTCTTTGTAAGCCGCTCTGAGACTCCCTTGGGTAGTGAAGGGCGGGGGGTATAAATCCAATCTCTTCTTCTTTTCTTCTTCTTCTTCAAGGCAAGAGACATTCAGAGGTGGTTTGCCACTCCCTACCTCCACCTAAAAGCCAGACTGGGACCACACTATCATCTGTTGAGGCATGTTGTTGCTTCAAATGCTGGGTTTTATTGATTCCATTATTATAACATGTTTTAATTTGTAGATATGCATTAACTTGAGGCCTATATGTTGGTACCCACCCTGGGCCTACAATGTGGGGAGGGCAGGATATAAGTCCAATGAAATAAAATAAAAGAAATAAATCATGACCCTGGACATCCTTGGTGGTCTCCCAGCCAAATCCCAAATTCTGAGAACTGATGAGATCGGGCTAGCCTGGGCAAAGGTTTCCCTTGCTCAAAAGTCAGTCGAATCCAACTCTAGGGGGCGGTGCTCATCTCCGTTTCCAAGCCAGAGACAGAGACAGCCAGCGCTGTCCAGAGACATTTCCGTGGTCATGTGGCTGGCATGACTAAACGCCAAGGCGCACAGAATGCTGTTACCTTCCCACCAAGGCGGTAACTGTTTGTCTACTTGCATTTTCTTGCTTTCGAACTGCTAGGTTGGTAGGAGCTGGGGCCAGAGACGGGAGCGCACTCCTTCATGCGGCACTCGGGTCTCGAACTGCCAAACTACAGACCTTCCGGTCTACGCTCGGCTGGAGATGCCTGAGGCTGAACGTGAGAATTCTGCCTGCAAAGCACATTGCTCTACCACTGAGCCAGTCCCAGTTACGGTGACGAGCATGTCAAAGAAACAAAGCCGTTCCGAGCACCACCGAAAACAAGAAGCATTTCCCCCCTACACACACAATGACAGAACGAGCGAAGCTATTTCAGCTCAGCCCTAGCTGCTGGCTTCCTAATCTCTAATTTGTTACCGCTGAGCGTTCTACATATAGAAAAGGGAAATGCGACGTTTTAAATTAAATGGAGTTAAATGTGGCTTTTTCCTTCACTCAATTTACAAATGCCAGAAACTGAAATAACAAGGCTCGTGTCTGTGATGCTTAAGGGTTTGAGGATGGATGTCTGGTGATAAGAAAGTTCTGTCTGGTGTTTGACCAGCGGCAGCTGCATTGTGGCTTGATGCTGCAGCATTCCAGGGTCAAGCACCCACGCGCGGGTGCCTCTTCTCTTTCCAAGTGGAGCAACCAGCTTAAAATGAACACGACCCAATGGAGTGTTTTGGGAGGGAGGGAGGGAGGGAGGGAGGGA